AAAGAAGACTGCACCTTTGTGACTGTCCTATCCAAATCAAACTGCCCTAACTGGTTATGTGTGATCTTACACCAGTAGAAGGCACCCCATCAAGGGTGGAATAGACTTGAACAGTGTTAGATAATAATAATAATAATCCTTGCATTTGATATAGCACCTTATCACGTCTTTGAGATGTCTCAAAGCGCTTCACAGAATACACTGTAAAGTGAATTCACTGTATATTTTGTGGGCGAAACTTTTGTAGATGATGTCTTTACTTGGAACAATTACATTTGCTGTTTCACTCACTATTCTTCACCGTCTTCATTTTGTTTCCACGAATGGTTTTTCCTCCACCCCCCGCACTGTCTCATGCAGTGTCCCTCAAGGCTCTGTCCTCGGTCCCCTCCTCTTCACCCTCTACATGCTCCCCCTTGGTGACATCATCCGCAGACATGCGGTTAACTTCCACATGCGGATGACACCCAACTCTACCTTTCCTCCTCTATCCTCAACTCCACGACCACCGATGTCCTGACAGCTGTCTGTCCGACATCGAGTCCTGTACGAGGGACAACTTTCTTCAGCTCAACGTGCGTAAAACTGAGGCCCTCCTGATTGGCTCGTGTCAGCGCCTCCGCACCTCAGGCGCTGACAGCATCAGCATCCAAGGCTGCACTCTCCACCTCTCAAAGCCATCAGGAACCTCGGTGTTCTGTTCGACCCTGAGCTGTCCTTTCTCCCTCATATCCGCGCCACAACTGGCACCACCTTCCATCACCTCCGGAATGTCGCCAGACTACGGCACTACCTCACCCCTCACGCTGCTGAAACCCTGATCCACGCCTTTATCACCTCAAGGCTGTACTACGGGAACTCTCTCATCACCGGCCTTCCCGGCACCTCCCTCCACAAGCTGCAGGTCATTCAGAACTCTGCAGCTCGTGTACTGCCCCGCACCAGGCTTCGGGACCACATCACTCCCACCCTCGCTCGCTTCCACTGGCTCCCCATCCCCCAGAGGATCGATTTCAAGATCCTCATCCTCACCTACAAAGCCATTCACGGCCTTACTCCCTCCTACCTCTCCGACCTACTATCCCCCTACCTTCCTGCCCGTACCCTCTGTTCCTCTGGCTCCGGTCTGCTCCACATTCCCCCGCCCCAACCGCCCTACCATCAGTGGCCGGGCCCTCAGCCTCTAGGCTCTGGAACTCCATCCCCCAGTGCCTTTGCCTTGCTTCCTCCCTTTCCTCCTTCAAGGCCGGTCTCAAGACCTTTCTCTTTGACCGTGCCTTCAGTTCCCCTCTCGACTCTCTACCCCCTCCTTGCTCCCTCCCTTCCCTCCCCTCACCCTGACCATTTCCCCCCTGCTCGGGTCCCGACCCAACTGTCCAGCGCCTTGGGACGTCCTCCCGACGTGAAAGGCGCTCTATAAATGGAATCTTGTTGTTGTTGTTGTTGTATTTTCTACCTATCTTCGCCAATTTTATTGGGAATCTGGAACTGTTAGAAAATGTCTGATATCAGTATGGGGAGAAATGCAATAACACTTGTTGTTCGTTGAGGCCTGGTCTTCATCTAGAACCCGGTTGCTCCTTGCCAAAGTTTCATGCTTTACTCTCTGATCATTTCCAATAGATACAATTATTGTCAAACTGCTACTACTGTGTTTAGTAGGAAACTGAATGGTGAATAAACATTGCCCACAAGCTAAAATATTTAAATGCGATATGTTAATTGGGTTACGCTCCATGAGTTGGGTCTAAAACCCAGCTACAGTATATAGAAGCTATACACATGGAATCAGATTGCTGACATGCAATATAATATTTTGGAATTGATTCTGAAGGCTGGACCAATTATCTTGCCAACTTGATCTATGTGGAAGAATCCTTTGGGAAACCAACAAGCCAACCAACATACCTCTAGGATCACGCTATTCTTAACCGCAGTAACCTCTCCAAACCAGTTTCCCAATGATGTAATCAGCACTTATTGTTTCAACAAAACTATGGCAATTTCCATTTCCAGGCTTGACTCAATGCTAATAACCAGGATTCCCCATTTGCAACTTGGTGTCTGCATTACAGAATCCCATTAGTAAACAATATTCTTTAGACACCAATATATATGTGGAGTTTTGTAGCTTATTTCTTAGAGTACTCACCTCACAAGCGAGAGAACCTGGATGTGATTCCTGGGCAGGGTGAAATGTTAGGCAAGTTTCCTTACTCCACACACGCTTGTTTACTTAACAGTAAGTAGGAACCCAGTTGTTAATCGAATGGCGGATTGCTTTCCAGGGGTAATAATCCCTACAAATAAATAATTATAATAATTTGGTCACTCAATCCACGACTCTTTGTGGGACATTGCTGTGCGCAATTGGCTGCTGTGTTTTGTCCACAAACTACTGTCAATTCACTTTACAGTATATTCTGTGAAGTGCTTTGAGATGTCTCGAAGACATGATAAGACGTTGTATCAAATGTAAGGATTCTTATATATATATTACACCTACAAATAAATACAGTTATTGCACTTTATAGTATATCTTGTGATGTGCTTTGAGATATTCTACCGATGTGAAAGGCACTATACAAAATGCAAGGATTATTATCATTATATGTCAATCCACAGAATAATATTCTTTGTATTTGGTATAGGGCCTTTCACATCAGGAGGTCACCACAGAATGCTTCATAGGATTGCTTCACAGTGCTTTCAGTCAACTGAGGCACGCAAAGTGGTGAGATCCATAGGCAGGATCAGATTTTAATTTCGGGCAGTATTTGTGACAGTGAACTACACAGTGATCTTTCACAGATTATGTCAGGAACAATAAATACTATACTTTGGAGTAATTACAAGGTGCTAATGTTGTTGAATTGTTTGAATGATATAAGAAACCATGAGATTTTATAACAATTAATCTGAATCTCAAAATGAAATTACAGCCTTAAGATCACTCATGTGTATTTGTAATATACTGTTAAATTTATGATGTGTTTTAGATTACGTTTTGGGCCCTATTATTTCCACTGGCAACAAGTTACTGCTAGACACTGGCATGTCAACCCGACAACACAAAAGGCATACAGGACATTGATACTGTAGGACATTGGTAGTATTAGGCTCACTTAATGTACCCTGACGCTTTGCAATGATGATGTGCAGTGACATCTGCACTGAAGGATTATTGATTGGGAGGGAATCAATGCATATAGAGTGATAATCTAAACAACGTTTAGTTTATATTGGAGAACAATCACATTCTCCGCTCTTCAGAAAGGCAGTTTTTTTTATATTAACGAGAATGTGAAAAAATTATTGCTAATAGATACAGCACTTTCTTTTTCTTACACGGCATTGTTACAGAAAGAAACAATCAAGGCAGTGGTGCCTTTCTTTCTCCGCATTAAAATTGGACAATTTATCTCAGCCTCATTTTATTTTTAAATCCCTTTGTATTTTAAAAGCCTCATTTGCCCGGTGGCGTCAAGTGATTTTCGGAAACTTTTGTTTAAGAAAAACCCCTGAGATATTTGACAGCAGCTGGATGTTGTAAAACATACAACATCACTTTAAACATTGCTGCAAATTTACAGTATTTATTATAACAAATACAAGTAATAATCCTTGCATTTGATGTAGCGCCTTATCACGTCTTCTGGACGCCTCAAAGCGCTTCACAGAATATACCGTAAAAATGAATCGACTTGGGTTTTGTGGGCAAAATGGTTCAACGGATGATATAACAAGAAAAGTACACGCACACCTAAGCAACCAATACATTAAAAAATATATTTTACAAGGCGGGCGGGCGGGCGGTGGGGTGGGGTGGTGGATTGTGAAAACTTGTATAATAGCAGGATTGGGGATCATTAGGGTCTGGTGAGGTTTGGTGCTGGGAGTGAAGCAAAGCGAAGCGAAGGCTGAGACTTTTCACCTCTTCGGTCTTGCTGCTGGGAAGGACAAGAGCAGACAGAGAGTGAGTGAGTGAGTGCGAGTGAGTGAGTGAGTGACCTCGGGCTGCGGTTGAGTAGTTCGAGTGACGTGTTCTGAGTTACCCAACTCCACCCAACAGCAGCAGCAGCAGCAACACACACACACACACACACACCAAGTAAGGCAGCTGCACTTTCAGAGCCAAACATGGCGTTAACCTTCTTGCTCTGAGCTCTTAGCCCAAAGAGTGATCAAAAAACATGTAAACAGTGAAGAACTTCAGACAGTCACCTCCTGAAACCCATCTGCTGCGAGTCGACAGAAAGAACAGAGAGTGAGAGATAGAGAGAGAGAGAGAGAGAGAGAGAAAAAGAGAGAGAGAGAAAAAGAGAGAGAAAGGGAAAAAGAGTCACCCAAAACGACCTTGGACGAGCTATGGACTCGAAAAAAAAAATACTTTTTTAAAAAAATTGAAGCAGCTGCTGGTTTAGGATTCTTTTTTTTTACAAATTAAATTAAATTAATTTTTTTTTACTTTTTACAAAAAAAATATTTTTTTAAATTGATTGTTATTTTTACTTTTTTTTACAAAAAAGGAAGCAGAGAGAGAGGAGTGAGAGGAGTGAGTGAGAGGGAGGGAGTCAGTGAGTGAGTGAGAGAGAGAGAGAGAGAGGGGGAGGGAGTGAGGGAAGGAGAGGAGGAGGAGTAGTTGGAGGAGGAGGAGGTAAGTTTCACAAGTGAGTGTGGAAAGTGTTAAGTTGCTGTGTGTGTGTGTGTGTGTGTGTGTGTTTCCCCCCTCTCAAGGGCTGGAGTTTGTTGGCTAACTTTGCACCATCTTTCTTGTATTGCTTTGACTGTAGGACACACCGAGGCTGAGCCTGAGTTTTGTTGAAGAAGAAGGAGGAGGAGAAGGAAGAGGAGAGGAGGAGAGCAGTGGGTGGGGGTGGGTTAGTGGGGCAAGAAAAAGGCTGGACCCTGTGTGTGTGTGTGTGTGGTGGTGGTGGTTGAGTTGAGGAAACGTGTCGTGTTGGTGGTGGTGTGTGTTTGTGTGTGTGTGTGTGTGTGTGGAGGGGTGTGTGTGTGTGTGTGTGTGGAGGGGGGGAAGAAGAAAGTTTTTTTTATCGTCATCGTCTTCGCTGAGTGTTCGCAAAGAGGAGTGAGGGATCATTATGGCTCACTCGCCGGTGGCGGTGCAAGTCCCAGGAATGCAGGTAAGGCCCCTGATCTGACTTACTCTGAGTGTCTGAGTGAGTGACTGACTCAGTGACTCAGTGACTGAGTGAGTGAGTGAGTGACTGAGAAACTTCCTGATCGCACCCATTACGCCAAACTTTACGAATAGCCGCTCTCAGACGTGACTCTGAAACCACAGCCACTTCTGAACTTCCTTGAAACAAGAGTAGTGTTTTTTTGGGGTGTGGGGGGGGGGGGGGGGGGGGGGGGGAGGGGGGAGGGCGGTGGGGGGCTGTCTTGTCTGTGTGTGTGTGTGTGTGTAACTTGTGTGTCTGTCTGTGTCTTGAGTGAGTGTTGAGTGTTCCTTAAAGAAAAAAAACAGCCACAACCAGGATTTTATTAAGAACTCAGTAACCTGTCAATCCTACTGCTGAAGAACCTAAACCCAACACCCATTATTAGATGAACACTTCCTCTCTCTCTCTCTCTCTCTCTCACCCTCTCCTCCCTCCCCCCCTCCTTCAAACACACACCCATTAAGCACATTAAAAAGAACTGATTCGAGCAGGATTTCTGAGCCACAATAGTCGCTCATGGTTGACTTTGCCTTTGTTCTGGGCTCACTTGGTGTTTTCTTTGAGCATGTGATGGGTGGGAATGGGACAGTTTCATCTGGTGCGTTCAGGGCGCACACGAGAGAACCTTTGCCACATTGGGATGAGTTAGTCCATGTGGTCGAGGTACATCCAAGGGTCGGCTTTGACGTATCGGTCTTGATGGTGTCACCATTGAGGGGTTCATCTTAAATTGCCTTTCGCGCTGCATGCAATCTGCCACTGAACCTTTAGGACACTTGTTTTTGATTCAGTTCTGTACTGATCAAGGTGAATGATGTCAGGGAAATGGAACACTTTCCCATTTTGGCGTTGCGCGTGTCTTTTGAGTCATGCACAGGTGTATCTGACCACCCAGGAAAGTTTAAAAAGTAAAATTGCTGAGCATTGGTGTTCCTGATCCATTCCCGGAAGAAGGAGCAGGGTTGCGAGTCATTTTTATACCAATCTCATTTTCATTTAGGAACCCTACTGTAAGCAACAACTTGCATTTATGTACCACGATAACACCTCGGACCGCTCATCACCGCAATCAATCAGTTTGTTTAAAAAAAATAAAAAGCATAGATAATGATAGCAAATTTAGTTTGACTGCATTCTACAACCCTATACTCTGCACTTCCCCCTCCCCCAAGTGCTCTGGGATGCTACCCTGCATGAGAGGTGCTATATAAATGCAAGTTGTCATTGATGGGAGATTTTAATCCTGTCAGTATGAGGTACATTTGAATTTAGGGACAAACAGTGCCACAGTGCAAACCAATCAAGCTCCCTACTGGTTTTCATAAAAAGGCCGAGAGGAGAGGATTGCGGTGATTGACAGGATCGGGATAGCACACCTCGGCCTCTCTCAAGCTGTTTCCAGCGCTGCACATCTATAGAATTGTAAAACTTGCTGATCGGAAAAGAGGGAATGCGGGTGCGGAACAATATTATACATTTTTGTTAATCGAAAACAAATGCTGAAAAAGTTATGCTTTATTTTTCAAAACTCTTTTGAGCCCAGCCTGTAATTTAAATAGATCCTTTTGTGTTACAAGAAGTATTAGAATACTTTTTACTGAATTTAGAAAGCTAGCCATGATGTTATTTCCAGGCATTGTAGCCTGACACAAGTTTTTGACGTTATAATTTTTGGAGTTTATGGTAATATATGAATGAAAGCTTGTCCATAGTATCTATGAGGCCATTGTACAGTTGAAGGACTCGATGGTGACATTATAAAACACAAGAGCAAAGTGTAGAAAGCATCAGCACCACAAGATTGTCAGAACTTTAATCAATTCCAGACCATCTGTTGCATTTTAAAATACTTTTACATTTTATTTTGCTGCTCGTGGGTGAGTTGGATGTTGAGCTTGGGACTGATGTCCTCTGATGTGTGTAAAGGACAGTCAGAGGCTCATAATAAATAATAATAATCCTAATAATCCTTGCATTTGATATAGCGCTTTTCACGTCGGGAGAACATCCCAAAGCACTTCACAGAACACACTGTAAAGTGAATTGACTGTATATTTGTGGGCGAACGCGGCAGCCAATTGCGCACAGCAATGTCCCACAAACAGTCGTAGATTGAAAATGACCAATTTATTATTGTTTTTGGTTTTGGAGGGATTATTATTAGGCGTGTGGAGTAAGGAAACTTGCCCAAGGTTTCGCCCTCTGCCTGGAATTGAACTCAGGTCTCTCACTTGCAAAGCGAGTGCTCTAACCACTGAGCTACAGGACTCCACAAATTTCCCAGGATGAGAGAGCACTGGAGCAGTTACACTGAGAGACGTAGAATACACAATTTTTTTCTGCTGGTTGTTCTTCCAATCTTTCCCCCCCCCCCCCCCATGTTTCTTTTAAAGACCTTTGATACTCTTTTCCTTCTACTGGGGTGCAGTCACATGGAAGTGGCCACTGTTCATATATGAGCCTTGGCACCTGACAGTGAATACTGACATGCTATTTGACTGGTGGAGGGGTGGGAAAGAGAGGGAGATCACAGCCTAGATTAATCATTTCCCTCACCTGGTGCATATGATCCAGTGGGGGATCTGGTTGCTATTCAATCTAATTTTCAGTAGGAATTGAATGCATTGATATAGCACCCTTCGTGTAGAATAACGCTTTCCGTAGCGTTCATCATCACCAAAATCAATTCGGATAGCAACTGGGAATGGGTAATCGAGTGAATTCTCTCGTCTGTAAATTAGCAATTTTCTCCTCTGCAATTGTAATCTGCTACCGTGGCTGAGGTGAACTAATTCAGCACAGTTAATGCATCTTGATCCTGTACAATTAAGTGTTCTTCATGCCTTAGTGCTCTGGGACGCTATCCTGACTGAGAGGCGTTATATAAATGCAAGTTGTTTTTGTTGTTGCCTTTAGAGTGGTACCTTTAAGGTGATGCTTTACTCACTAAAACATTGGAGAAGTTAAGTTGACTTTTTTTGAAAGTATCAGAAACTCCCCTCCATTTACCAGACAGCTCTCCAGGGATGTATACAGTCAGTGACACAGAAATATCTTTGCTCATCTGTCAGTGGAAAATGTACTGTCTACACCATGACTTCTTTGTGCTTTTACTTATAGATTCTGGATAATGATGAATTTATATTAAATAAGCACCACGGTTGTGTGCTGGGTCAGTTTATTGTCTGCTTGTTACATAAGATTAACCTGTTTNAAAAAAATCCAACTTTAACGAAAATTAACCGAGTGAGACAATTAGGAGAAACCATGTTTATTTATTGAAATAATAGGTTGAGAAGTTCTTCCCCCCCACCACCCCCTCTAATTCACTTTACTGCTTCATCTATCGTACAGTGTGGGTCCAGGCTGCTTAGAGATAATGAAATGATACCTGCAGTGCATTCAAACAAGAGTAGGTAGGGTGATGGGCACATTTAGTGTCCTGATGACAAGTGCCCAGGTGCCTGGCGGGATAGGTATTGGCAGGATGACATTGAGAAGCTATTTGTGTTTTTCTTTATTCTTTGTGAGACCCATAAGCAGCGTTTTTTGGGGGGAGGGGGTTTAGACTACAATCTTTTTTCAAAAAAGTCTGAAATGCAGTCTAGGTAACACTATAAAAATGAATATTATTGGTCGATTAAAATCTATGTTGTGAAACGTGTTTGATTTCACTCCAGATTTTACCTTGTACGTGCTGACTGACAGAACGCATGTTTTAGGCGCATTCTGTCATTGAGACTGTCCCAATGAATGTTTAAAGGCAAATTAAATGCAGGGGTGCTTGGAGAGCTGAATATTTACCTTTATTGCATTTTTTTAAAAAAGCAGGTATTTTTATAAACCTTCCATTTATAAGGTGCATCTGGAGTGTGTACAGCTACTTTCAACAGTGATCAATATCTTTCCGCAGAGATTGTGAGACTCAATTTTTTTGTTCCAAGTTTCTAAAGCAGTATTTGTGAAAATGTAAGAGACATTTGGGAAAGACCAGGAGATGCACAAAAGGCAAATCACGCTGACAGTGATGGGAAGGAGCTTTGAATGAATATGTGTAGATTGGTGAAGCTAATTGTTTAAAAATAAACAAAAGTAGCTGTAGCTAATTTAAGGGGTAAATGTATCCTTTCCACTAAAGTCCCACTTTCATATAACAAGTCTGGGTCTCAACCTCCACCACCATAGAGTATCTGTTTTTGTTACAAACTCTGCAAACTGACAATTTACTTCAATTGAAATAAATAAAATACTGACTAGTTTGTAAAACATGTTGATTGTACGTAAAAAAGTTGTTTTCATTACAGAGCAGCAGTTATACAAATAGTCCTCTGAAGTAGTCTCCCCTCACTTTGCACAGGGCCGTTTTGACTTTGTTTGTGTCATTCGTAAGTGTGGTGTTCATGAGGGTGGTAGTCACCGTTCTTTGTCATAACAACAATGCTGATCTTCAGTGGAAGATCAAAAGCGACTAAATCAGATGCAGGAAATCAACCAGCGCTTACTGAATTAAAGTATAATCTGGTTTCATTTTCATTTTCAAAATGTTTAATTGTTTATTTAATATATTCACCTGTATTGGCCAGCACGCGGGTTGAGTGAAAATGCATACAGATTTGTAGAATGAGATTAGCAAACAACTTCTTAGAGTATTCTGAGCCTACACCAACAACAGGAAGTTACTCCATTAGTTGACCCCGGAAGCAGTTGTGAATCACAGTAGTAAATTACCTGCAATGTCAATTGACTTGAGTCCTTCTCAAATGTCATAAACTAATAATATTTTCCTCGATTATTGGGTATGAAGTACAGGCTAATGCCAAAGCTGACGTCATTTGCAAATTAAAAAGGCTGTCAGAAAGTTTAGTGTATGCTTGAGGTGCAATATGATTGATTGTTCCTATTCAGCCCTGAATTCTGTAATGAGCAGATGTGTGAATTTCTGCTGTTTATTTCTGATATTG